AATCCTACAAATTCAACAAATGTGTCAGACTTTGAGAGGGGTCAGTGTTAAATTCAGGGAAAAGTTGTTACTAAATTGAAACATAAATAACTGTTCATTTGAAGTTGTACATCACTCAGTCATGTATTGTTCTTTTCATTGAAACCTTCCTATCATGCAACACGAGGGTTTCATGTATATTTTTAATTCCTTATTTATTCCTCATAAGATCAGTAATTGTAGTCAAATGAAACTTTGTGATGGTGTGCAGATGTGGGCGGAAACAAGTCACACTGACTTAACGTGAACTTAAATAACGTCTCTCAACACATTGTGCTTATTGGAGTCCTTTTATTTTTTACTTTGACTTGATAAGAGTCATTGCTTTTACTCCTCTACATTTAGATGTAACTGAGCTGCTTTTCAGTTTATTTGATGTGTTTCTGCGATTGCAGTTTGAGGCTGTTGGTCTGCTGATCTCAGGTCAGTTCTCACATCCACATGAAGGAAAAGACAACAGAAAAATATCCCAGTATGTTCTATTTCAACTGTATCTGACTGCTTTTTCACTTTGTCACTACTTTGCTCATGAAATGAAATGAAATGAAATGAAAAATACTTTATTTTTTTTATCCCAGAAGGGAAATTCAATGTGTTAAATGCTACACTTTTGTGCTCAACTAGCTGTTTTGAGCATATTCAGCCTGAACTCCACTGATGGTCAAAGTGAAGTCAGAGTTTGATCCACGGCCTCAGCATCAATCTGGTATTCCAGTTTCTCTATAGTATGTCCAGTAAATAAGCAGTTTTGATGCTTGTCCACCTTTCTGTTGGTACCAGACTAATATGTAGCCGACACCACCAGAGTACACATCCTGACTGGTCGTATATGAGATGGTGACGGAGCCTCCCAGAGCAGAGCTCACTGCTCCAGGCTGAGTCACTGTGATCTGACCTCTGGACTCTGAGGATACAGAGACACAAACAGAAAGCAGCGTCATGCTTCTGTGGGCTTCATTTCAGAGGGACGCATGTTGATAGAGGAGAGGAGTTTACCTGTGAATTTTATTGCCTCTAAACTTATTTGTGTAACAGAAATGTTTAATTGATTTTGACACTGAAAACACTCAGTATTAATCTGACATAATAAAAACTGATGAATGAAGCCAAATGAATATATTTTCAAATTCCTGTCAGTTTGTTTTTTATGTGAAGCAGCTGTTTGACCCACTGAGACTGTTTGTGTTGAGTTTGTTTCAGAGTCAGAGAGCCGTGTCTCTCTACAGTCAGAGGTTTTTGTACGGCGGCTCAATCAGGTTGTATCACTGTGGTACACGTTTGGTGGAGGAACCAGACTGGAAGTTGGACGTAAGTTAAACTTGAAGCTGTTTTTTTTAGAATCTATTGCTCTTTACATTTTATGAGCTTGTTTGTTAATTATACTGAGTAAAACAAACATATTTTCCTGTAAATTCTTTAACAAGCATTATGTCATCAGGACACTACGTTGACTTTAACAATGGAAATTTTAAAACTTAAATGAATTGAAAAAAGTATGGTTCAGAAGATAAATAGTTTTTCTGGCCTTAATAGTTGAATCTTTGGCGCTTGTAGGTTTAGTTCAGTGTGACAAAGTCAGAGAGCCGTGTCTCTCTACAGTCAGAGGTTTTTGTACGGCGGCTCAATCAGTTTGTATCACTGTGGTACACGTTCGGTGGAGGAACCAGACTGGAAGTTGGACGTAAGTCAATTTCTTTTTTAGACATCTGATTATTTCAGGAGCAAGTGTTCACATCTCACTGCTCTACAAACTGAAATATGATTTTGATGTCTTTATCTTTAATTTTTGATCAATATTTGTTCTCATTAGAAACAGAAATAATGAATCAAAACTTTTCTATTTCAGTATTTGCTCCATAAGATAAAGTGTATAATCACATTTTAAATGATTGAAACTTGAGGATTAATAAATGTTCAGACAGTCAGAGAGTCGTGTCGCTCTGGAGTCAGAAGTTTCTGGACAAACCAGAGCTCATGCTGGAAGTAAGTTTCTGCTCACGTGTTAAATAATAATTCAGGTTTTAATCTCTGTAAATGTGAAGCAGATCTGCGCTGATCAGAATCAATGTCAAATCTAGATTTTGCTGTTAGTTTACTGGACTTTTCTTTATGTGTTGGAGTTAATGTGTGAAATGTGAACAGCTTGAAGTGCAGGAAAGATGATTTAGCTACGATCCAACCTCTAAAATGTTTTCTTGTCTTTAATTCTCTGTTTTGAAATGTGTTGACATGAAACTAATGCAGTCTTGATTTTGAACATTCTGCAAAATCTCTCATTATTTTAAACGTCAAGTAAAAGACCTTTTTCTGGAACTTTATATTCTTCGACTTTAAATCAGTTTTCAGTCATTTCTGGTGGATTATTTTTATTTGAACACTGAGTCTGATTAACTGAGTCTCTTTCAAAAATGTTCACATAAATGGAGCAGGATTTAACAAACTCATACAGGTGTCATGTCAT